TACACTTGCTTGCATAAATGTTTTGATATACGACTAGTCATTTTCCAATTATGGTTCAAAAAATTTACATGAGCCATCAATAGAAGTTTATTCAAAGTAGACGCAGTGTGTAAGCTTGACAAGATTGTATACCGTGTTCAAATATTTGAAATTTGAACTAGGTTTCTTTGTGCAACGGAGCAAGGAATGTTGTTTTGTTCATCACTTCTTTTGTAATTTTCTTTTCAAATCTCACAATAAGCAAATGTCAAAGATAATTTCATTTATCTTGCCCTTTCATTCACTTTTTCTGAGAAAGCTTAAGAAATTTTGGCACTGCAAGGTGTAGCAGTGGCAGCAGAAGCTGTTATATGCCCCAGCTGAGCCTTGACTATGACATAAGAGAATCTGTAGCCTTTTTTGATCATTTTAGTATTGTTAACAAGGTCAAAGGTTATCATTCTTAGTAAATTAATATTTTTACACAATGTTTGGTATATCAAGATAATAGGATTAGGATCTGTACAAATTATTACCCAAAATGATCTTGTCTTTTGGAGTTTGAGGAAAGCTTTCTTCACCTAACTCCTTTCTTCTTGTACCTTACTCGTTTCCTTCCTTTCCTTCTAATACACTTCACTGCAAATGCTCACTTTGCACATCATTTTATTTGGTATATTTATAAATATCAAAATTTGGATTTAAGCCAAAGCATATTGTTAGGTAAACTAAGATTTCGCGCTCGTTTAATATTAGAATCATATCTATATCCATCAAAATGACTGAGCTATTGAAGAAATCTCAAAACAAATCTAGAAACCAGTTAGGATTGCAAGTCAATGGATTTCATTTTCACAATCATGAAATGCCTAACATAATCACCATGCCTTCTTAAATTTCCCTCACCTTCATCACCATTCTTTCATCAAAAACCTCTCAAAGATGGGTTCTTTGTTGGTTGGTCATGTTGCAATAGGCATTGGTTTCCTACTAACTGGCCTTTGGCATCTCTTCAACCACATCAAGCTCCACTCTCTTCACCCAACAACCTACATATCTCCTCCTTGGTTCCCAACTCCAAATTTTCGATATTTAGAACCAGTCCTGATCTCTATAGCAAGCTTCACCTACATTGTCATGGAGCTCTTCATCTCTCCCTCTCACCATCACCCCTTAGATAATGACTGGAGTATCCCTTCTTATCACCTCCATAACTTTGAACACTCCTCGATCTCCCTGATCTTCCTCGTCTACACATTATTCTGTATTGCATTTGACAGAATTTATGCACGTGCCCACCAACCTAATGTGCTTCTTGGTCTGACTCAGGTGATTGCTCTGATTCATTTGCATTCTACTGATCATGTTAGGAGCAAAGGTTATCTGTCATCTTTTACTACTAGTTACCCAAGTTGGGGTATTTTTATATATTAGTCCCTCAAATCTTCAATAATTCCATAGTAATCCCTCAAATCTCAATAATTGATCATTAGGCGCTCAAATCCTAAGGGGTCTTGCAATTTGGTTCCTTAGTGACCAAAATGCCCTTTAGTTACAATTTCACTCTTAAAACACATACTCTTTGGAAAAATGTTGTTTCCACTATGGTATTCTAAAGGTTACGCCTTTTTGACTTTAATACCCCAAAGTTCTTTGACACTTTGATACCCTAAAGTTTACACCTTTTTTAACTTTGATACCTTAAATTTTTTCTAACACTTTTGTTACGACAAAGTTTATACATTTTTCACTTTGATATCCCGAAGTTTTGTTTTTGACACTTGCCCCAAACTTTAGGGTACAAAGTTAAAAATGTGTAAACTTTAAGGTATCATAATTAAAAAGATAGGGAATATATGGGATATGAAAGTTAAAAAAATGTGTGAACTTTGGGATATTGAAGTGTCAAAATTTTTTTGGGATATCAAAGTGCAAAAAGATGTAAACTTTGGGATATTAATGTGTCAAGAAAACTTTGGGGTATCAAAGTTTAAAAATTTGTAAACTTTAGAATACCAAATTGCAAATAACATTAGCCAATGGTATTTTGGTCATTGAGGACCAAATTGCAATAACACTAAGATTTGAGGAACTAATGAGCAATTATTGAGATTTGAAGGACTAATATGGAATTATTGAAGATTTGAGGGACTAAAATCTAATAACCTAAGATATGAGGGACTAATGAGCAATTATTGAGATTTGAAGGACTAATATGGAATTATTAAAGATTTGAGGGACTAATATCTAATAACCCTTTTTTCATTCTGATTTATGATGTTATCTAAGGGAAATTGCTGATGTTCTCGTTGAGTATTAGTTTGTCTTGGAATAAGAATTGAGAACTTTTCTTTACTGTAGTAATTAGAATTTTGTACATAGCTAATAATTTGTCCTTTGAACAAATCTACAGTGTATGGTTCCGTTTCTTTTACTCTAGGCTTAATTTCTCATTCTGAATTACGGGTACTTCAGTTTTAGGTTATGATTGTCATTGATTGATTACCTACCTTCCACAAGATATCTCTTTGTCCACATTAGGCATTAAACAATGGGATACTTCAAATTTTAGATTTACTGGCAATGTCATGATAATCGCCCAAAACCCCCTCTCTTTTTAGAATATAATAGGTAATCTGTTACATTAAACTATGTACTTCAACTTTCTTCGCATATTAGATTCATGGCAAGAGGCTTTGCAAGAATATTCTTGGATAAGTTTCATTTTACAAGTCAAATATGGTTCTATAGTTTTTCGGTAGCTTGTTGGCACAGCTTTTCTGATATATTTTCTAGTCATTTAAATTTTGGTTCAAAAGTTTTACGTAATTCACCCATATAAGTGGGTACAGTGTGTGACGTTGACCATGATTCTGTATTAGTGTTGAATTATTTGAAATATGAAAACAATGTCAAAAGGAAACATGAATTATATTGCCATCATATATAATCCAACTTAAAATATGTGTCTGTCCAACTTGAAATATGTGTCTGTCCCCATCATTATCAAGTTCTTTGTGCCACTGAACAAGAGGGTGGGGGGTTGCTTTCTTCACCACTTTGGTTGTAATTCTCTTTTTGAATAACTAAGGAACTTGATTATGATGGGGAGAAACACAGAACCAGAGATTATGTAGCCTTTCTTGATTTTTGTTAGTATCAAATATGATCTTCATAGTAATTTTATATTATTACACAACCTTTGCTATATCAAGGTAGTAGGGTTAAGGTTTGTACAATTTGTCAATTACTGCCTAAATGATTTTTTTCGGAGTTTGGAGAAAAAAAATTTCCCTCACTTATCCCCTTTTTTAACCCAATGTGTTTCCTTTCTTTCCTTCCATGACAATTCACTACAAATGCTCGCAACGCAGATCTTATTATTTGTTATATTTTTTAAATCTCATACTAGTATTTTTGCACGTGCAAATGCACATGCTGAAGATTTCAATTTTACTTTTTGTAAATTTTATTAGATTGTGATATGATAATTCAACTATTAAGATACGTAAACGACCTATGTGTTAGATATTACCTAAAATAAATATTTCAATCGTTTATTTAGTAAGGAAGAAAATATATTATAATTTTATTATTATTAATCTTCTTTCTATGTTGTGCTAAGTTAATAATTTTAAAAAGATGCATTTCTATATTCATTTTTGTTTTTCAACTTATAAAGATTTTAAATATTAATCATATTTTAATATTTCCAAATATGTCAATATGTTGATACCTTCAGTTAAGCTTTGTTGATTTTGCAAAAAATTAGAAAGAGGTAGGAGTGAGTGTGTGGTTGAATTAGAATCAGAGAGGAGGGAGAGCATGTTTGGGGTGTGGGTTGAGAGATCCCATGTTGGGGGATGTGAGGCCCACATGATTGATTGATAATAGTTATTCTTTTTGAAATTACCAAGCTATCCTTAGATTTGAATATGCGTTTCAATTATCCTTCAAAACTTTTTGATACAGTCACTTGGTTTTTAATATAGTAGCGTAGATTTTTGGATTTAAGCCAAACCATTTGAATATGCTTCTCCATCACCATTCTCTCATAGAAACACCTCTCAAAGCTGGTCCTTTGTTAGTTGGCCATGCTACAATAGGCATTGGTTTCTTACCCATTGGCCTTTTGCATCTCTTCAACCACATCAAACTCCATTCTCTTCAGACAACAATCTACACATCTCTTACTTGGTTGCCTACTCCAAAATTTTGATACTTAGAGCCAGTCCTCATATCCATCATGATCACCACCTACATTGCCCATGAGCTTTTCATCTATGCCTCTAAACACAAACCTTTAGGCAATGATTGGATCATCTTTTCTGACCATCTCCACAACCTTGAGCAATCTTTAAGCTCCCTTTCTTTCCTCGCCTACGCATTGTTCTGTATTGTATTTGACAGGATCTGTGCTCATGCACGTCACTCTGACGTGCTTCTTGGTCTGAAATAGGTGATCGCCCCAGTCGTGTTCTTTCAAAATCTGCACATCTAGAATTTTACTTGGAATAACTAAACTTCTGTACTTGGCGTAAATTATCTGTCCAAACTTGGGAACAAATATGCTGTGTATTCTGCGAGTTCCTGTTTTAAATGTTGTGATGAAACTAAAGGGAGGAAGATGATAGTAAAACAACGTCATGGTATCATAATACTGTCTATTGTGGATATCATATACACTAAGTCCGTATAAACTATAATTTTTTAACAGCTTTATCAGTGAATTGGGTGTTGGATGCTAATTTGAAGTGATGTTCAGCCGAGGTTAACGAATAGTTTGAAATTCTGCTGAGCTTTAGGTTAAAAAGTGGGATTAAAAGGGGCAATTTTGATATGCTGCACGACTAGACTTGGTTCATAGCAAACAAAGATAATAAAATAATACAATATACAATATAATAGCATAAACAACAACCCTAAACTTATTAATCTGTATCTACTAATTTTACATGGAAGTTGATAAATTTTTTCTTTAGAAGATTTAAAAACTAATAGTAATTCACTTCACTATAGAACCTAACAAAAATAGCTACTAATGAGGCATCAATCTCCATAAGAGTGGACATTTCATTACTCAATTGGAATGGATTTTGAGAAAGGAGAAGCTATAGAGATGGGTTTTGCACATGCTCATTTATTGGATAATTATCATTAGATTGACAATTATAAGAAAGTCCATCGTAATATCCTAGTAAATTTCCCCTTATTTTCATCACGAGTCTCTCATAGAGTCACCTCCTCTCAAAGATGGCACTTTTGTTAGCTGGTCATGTAGCAATTGGCACTGGTTTCCTACTTATTGGCCTACGACACCTCTTCAACCACATAAAGCTCCATTGTCTTTAGCCGACAACCTACAGATCTCTTCCTTGGTTCCCAACTCCCAAATTTCGATACTCAAGAACCAGTCCTTATCTCTATAGCGAACTTCACCTACATCACCATGGAGCTCTTCTGTCCCTCTCACCACAAACCCTTACCCAACGACTATACTATCCCTCACATATCTCCTCCGCTGCATTGAACACTTCTCAGTCTCCCTCTTCCTTCTCATCTATGGATTATTCACTATTGCATTTGACAAATTCCGTGCACGTTCACGTGCACAAAATACTAACGTGCTTCTTGATCTAATGCAGGTGATTGCCTCTGTGGCCTTCTTTCAAGAATGGCTTTTAATTCATCTGCATTCAACTGATCATGCTGGAGTTGAAGGGCAGTATCACTGGCTACAGCAAATTGTTATTATTGCCTGTTTCATTGCTACAGTTATCGGTATTGGACTACCGAAGAGTTTTATAGTGAGCTTTGTGAGATCAGTGAGCATTGCTTTCCAGGGGGTCTGGTTCATTGTGATGGCGTTTGCTTTGTGGTCACCGGGGCTTATTCCAAAAGGCTGCTTCTTGAAGCTTGAAGACGGGAGAGATGTTGTCAGGTGTAAGGATGAGGCGTCCCTCGAGAGAGCAAAGGCTTTGGCTAATTTGGAGTTCAGTTGGATTTTGGCTTTGATGGTGGTTTTTTCCGTGGTTTTTTACCTGGTTTTGTTCAAGTGTTATGATGTTGAGGGGCATGTGTATGTTGGTTTGGGCAAGGAGGATGAGGACTTGGAATCTCAGAGGAAGTTTGGTGACGGGGTGTTGAAATGTTAACGAGAAATAATACATAAAATTCATGTTGTATATGATATTTGCTTGTGATTGAATGTGTGGAATCAATGGAAGCCGCTGTTAGATCTAAAGCATTACATTACCCATTTTGCGTTCATTGCTAGTTCATATTTGAAGATTATTTTGCTAAAACAAGCATTCTGGACTCTCTTGAAATCCTTTTTTCCCCCTCTGGTTTGGCGAGGGAACTTACCCACGATCCATAGTCAAAATCTCCGGGTGTAGCTAAGGGGCACCCTCCGGGTGTAGCTAAGGGGCACCCTCCAACGCATGGCCTCAGGTATTTTATAAAATTAAATTTGTGTAGGTGCATCCCAGGAGAGTCGAACATGAGACATTGGAGTACTACTTATAGGACATCTGTATTATAAAGAACATAAAAGGTTTCCACGAATGATAAAAATGTAACTAAGAATTAACTAGTTGGAGAGCAGGGCTTTACTAGACATGTACCGCAGACAGAATTTCGTTTACCTAGAATGTGTAAGTTTCATAGAACCGCTATGAATTTTAGAGTATTGTACAAAACTATCTTACTTTTTTTATTCGGGGAAAATTACAACGAACCGTTTTAACTAAACTAACCGTTTTAACTAAACTATCATGTCTGACTATAGTTAGAACAATTTAGACAATTTTTCTGTTATGTAGTTTATACATCTTCTATATTACCCTTCTTTCACTCTCCTATTTTCAGTGATGGTTCAGACCATTTACTCAAGCTGTTAACATAGCCAACATTAATTTTCAGCAGTTTTCAAAATTCTATGATTGTTTCTCAAATAAATATTCTGTAAGGTAGTTTTGTGAAATTTATGCAAAAAAACCATTTCTTTTTACATAAAACTCTTTCACGTGACAAGCCAGGACATCACGTGAGCGCCGTCTCCCTCTTCCCACTCCGATAGAAACGTAGCTCCCTTATCAACACTCAGCCAGCAGCCCTCAAGTTCCGAAGCAAACATAAAAGAGAGAGAAAAAGTGAAGGGAGAAAAAAAAAGGCAAAAATAAAATAAAAATAAAAATGGCGGGAATCAATTCCCTCCATCTTTCTGCAAACCCTCGCCTCTCTTTGCCCGCCTCCTTCTCTTCGAGGTCATTGCATTTCCCAATGAGGGCTCGGGTTCTTCCCGGAATGCCCCTGCGCTCTAGATACCCAAGTAAACCTTTTAGGGGGAATTTTCTGGTTTTTGAAATTCTGGGTTTCATTTGTTGATGGGTTTTTATTTGGATTTCAGGAATTTACGCGTTTTCGAGCAATGATATCAAGGTGGGTTCCAATATTGAGGTTGATGGTGCCCCTTGGAGAGTTATAGGTATGGCTTTCAATTTTGCTCAAAGTGATTCTGTCGACTCTTTATGTTCAATTTTTCTACTAAAATGCTAGAAATTTTTAGTGAATAGTGTTAATTGGAAGTTTATTTCTTCTGGGTTAAACAATGTAGATTTCTTGTTTGTTGAAAAAGTAGATACTTTTTTTTTAAACTGCATAACTTTCTTGGGGAGAAATCAGGGCCAAGCTAGAGTTAATAGGTCTTAAATGGAGCCCAAAAGCTGTAGCTAACCAACTCCTATATTAAACCCATCACTTTTTCTTATCCTATCTGACATGGAACTATATTCACATATTAATAACCTCAACATTCTTTGCTTCTCTCCTATGTATGATAATACTTGAATTTTCTCGTAGGTAGTTATGAGAATTGACAGCATACAAAGAAGTCTATGATTAGTAGTAGTTGGAGTCGCATGTCCATGGTTGTCTTAACTCCAAAGAGTTTTTGGAAAAGTAAAAATACCTCGAAATTATGGGACTTATACTGCATTGGTTCAAGAGTGTTCTAGTAGTTGGAGTTAGAAGCGTAAGACGTTGCGATATACTTCCAAATTTCGCTGCTACTTAATAAACACATCCTAAGTTCTTTGTGTAGAACATAGGAGAACTAAGATTGTTTACTTGGTAGTTTTCATTTGTCACGCTTATATGTAACAAATGATGCATGAGCCCTAAGATTGTTTACTTGGTAGTTTTCATTTGTCATGCTTTTATGTAACAAATGATGCATGAGCCTCCCGTGGAAGTTGCTGGAAAACAATGACCATCAATTAATTGATCATAATTTGAATAAAAATGTAAGACTGCTCGTGTGAAAAAAATACAGCAATGAGCATTGTAGTTGCCAATTCAATTTTTTGGCATATTGAGAATATATTCATTCAACTCTGTCAAAGAAAATAAAATAAAAAATGGAACTAGTTTACGATGTTATCATAATTTTTTGGTAATTTAGGCATCTCAATATCACTTCCCTTTTACTATTACTTTATCGATCGATCCATATGATTTGGCATCATAAAACATACTTCATGGAGAATCGGGAAATCATTCAGATTTATAGATGACTTAATGTTTTCATTTGAAATGTTACTTTTCCAATGTTCCTTGTAGAGTTTCTTCATGTTAAACCTGGAAAAGGAGCAGCCTTTGTGAGGACAAAAGTTCGCAATTATATTACAGGGAACACAGTTGATAAAACCTTTCGAGCTGGAACTACGGTATTTCTGATCTTGGATCGAGTTAATTGATATCTCTTCATTTGGGATTCTTTCCATTATTAGATTTCAATATTAAAGTACAGGTATTTAAAACCTGATTGCATATTGTTGCATACACATGTCTATGGCTCTATATGTTCATATATTCATCGGCAAAATGACCAAATTGGTATATTTTGTAGACACTAGGTGACAAAATGGTATAATTTTTTTTTTACTTTTGACAAATTGGTATATTATATAGACTCCATCGTCATATACCCCTTAAGTTTGGCCGGATCCATTTTTCCAGCCAATTTTCTCACGTGACGGCTCACATGACTCCAACGTGGCCGCGACGTGGACTCTAGCGTGGCGGATTTATTTCACAAAACCCCCTCCCTCTCTCCTCAAACCTCCAAGAATTCCCCTCCCTCTTCACCAGCCTCAACACTCTCCTCCTCTCCTTCTCAAATCCTAGCAAACCCTACGTCAAAAACCCCAGGCCCCCCTCATTTTCCTCCCTCTCCCTCTCCCCTCGACGAAACCCTAACCCTAGTAGATCCGTCCTGAAATCCCTCTCCCTCCTCAACCGATCCCTCATAGGCACCGCCGCCTCCGTCCTGAAATCCTTCTCCCTCCTCGACCGATCCCTCATAGGCGGTATCGTCGGCGCCTTCACCTACGTTTGTCTCCTCCCCATCGACACCATCAAAACCAAGCTCCAAACCAAGGGCGCCGCCAAGATCTACTCCTCCGCCCTCGACGCCGCTGTCAGGACCTTCAGATCCGATGGGATTCTAGGGTTTTATCGCGGCTTGTTGGCGGTGCTCGTCGGGTCGTCGACGAGCTTGACGATTTACTTCGGGACTTGCGAGTTTGGGAAGGCGATGTTGGGGAAACGGCCGGCCTACCCTCCTATTTTGATTCCGCTGACTACGGGGGCGATGGGGAATGTCGTGTCGTTGGCGATTATGGTGCCGAAGAAGTTTTTGGGAGGTAATGGTGGATGCATTTGTTGATTACGCAGAGGATGCAGGCTGGGGCTGCTGGGCATTCTTGGAAAGTAATGGTGGATGCATTTGTTTATCTCGTGATTGAATTTCGATTTAGTTTTTTTTTGTAGTGATATAATATGTAGAGTTGCTCTAAGGAGGAAATACAGTGAAGGGGATGAGAAAGATGTTCTTGGAAAGTAATGGAGGAGGAGGAGAAGGGAGAGGGGGAGGGGGAGGAGGAGGAGGAGGAGGGGTTCGCTCTAGATACCCAAGTAAACCTTTTAGGGGGAATTTTCTGGTTTTTGAAATTCTGGGTTTCATTTGTTGATGGGTTTTTATTTGGATTTCAGGAATTTACGCGTTTTCGAGCAATGATATCAAGGTGGGTTCCAATATTGAGGTTGATGGTGCCCCTTGGAGAGTTATAGGTATGGCTTTCAATTTTGCTCAAAGTGATTCTGTCGACTCTTTATGTTCAATTTTTCTACTAAAATGCTAGAAATTTTTAGTGAATAGTGTTAATTGGAAGTTTATTTCTTCTGGGTTAAACAATGTAGATTTCTTGTTTGTTGAAAAAGTAGATACTTTTTTTTTAAACTGCATAACTTTCTTGGGGAGAAATCAGGGCCAAGCTAGAGTTAATAGGTCTTAAATGGAGCCCAAAAGCTGTAGCTAACCAACTCCTATATTAAACCCATCACTTTTTCTTATCCTATCTGACATGGAACTATATTCACATATTAATAACCTCAACATTCTTTGCTTCTCTCCTATGTATGATAATACTTGAATTTTCTCGTAGGTAGTTATGAGAATTGACAGCATACAAAGAAGTCTATGATTAGTAGTAGTTGGAGTCGCATGTCCATGGTTGTCTTAACTCCAAAGAGTTTTTGGAAAAGTAAAAATACCTCGAAATTATGGGACTTATACTGCATTGGTTCAAGAGTGTTCTAGTAGTTGGAGTTAGAAGCGTAAGACGTTGCGATATACTTCCAAATTTCGCTGCTACTTAATAAACACATCCTAAGTTCTTTGTGTAGAACATAGGAGAACTAAGATTGTTTACTTGGTAGTTTTCATTTGTCACGCTTATATGTAACAAATGATGCATGAGCCCTAAGATTGTTTACTTGGTAGTTTTCATTTGTCATGCTTTTATGTAACAAATGATGCATGAGCCTCCCGTGGAAGTTGCTGGAAAACAATGACCATCAATTAATTGATCATAATTTGAATAAAAATGTAAGACTGCTCGTGTGAAAAAAATACAGCAATGAGCATTGTAGTTGCCAATTCAATTTTTTGGCATATTGAGAATATATTCATTCAACTCTGTCAAAGAAAATAAAATAAAAAATGGAACTAGTTTACGATGTTATCATAATTTTTTGGTAATTTAGGCATCTCAATATCACTTCCCTTTTACTATTACTTTATCGATCGATCCATATGATTTGGCATCATAAAACATACTTCATGGAGAATCGGGAAATCATTCAGATTTATAGATGACTTAATGTTTTCATTTGAAATGTTACTTTTCCAATGTTCCTTGTAGAGTTTCTTCATGTTAAACCTGGAAAAGGAGCAGCCTTTGTGAGGACAAAAGTTCGCAATTATATTACAGGGAACACAGTTGATAAAACCTTTCGAGCTGGAACTACGGTATTTCTGATCTTGGATCGAGTTAATTGATATCTCTTCATTTGGGATTCTTTCCATTATTAGATTTCAATATTAAAGTACAGGTATTTAAAACCTGATTGCATATTGTTGCATACACATGTCTATGGCTCTATATGTTCATATATTCATCGGCAAAATGACCAAATTGGTATATTTTGTAGACACTAGGTGACAAAATGGTATAATTTTTTTTTTACTTTTGACAAATTGGTATATTATATAGACTCCATCGTCATATACCCCTTAAGTTTGGCCGGATCCATTTTTCCAGCCAATTTTCTCACGTGACGGCTCACATGACTCCAACGTGGCCGCGACGTGGACCCGCCGGTGGCATCGCCGGCGTCTTCACCTACGTCTGCCTCCTCCCCGTCGACACCATCAAAACCAAGCTCCAAACCAAGGGCGCCGCCAAGATCTACTCCTCCGCCCTCGACGCCGCTGTCAGGACCTTCAGATCCGATGGGATTCTAGGGTTTTATCGCGGCTTGTTGGCGGTGCTCGTCGGGTCGTCGACGAGCTTGACGATTTACTTCGGGACTTGCGAGTTTGGGAAGGCGATGTTGGGGAAACGGCCGGCCTACCCTCCTATTTTGATTCCGCTGACTACGGGGGCGATGGGGAATGTCGTGTCGTTGGCGATTATGGTGCCGAAGAAGTTTTTGGGAGGTAATGGTGGATGCATTTGTTGATTACGCAGAGGATGCAGGCTGGGGCTGCTGGGCATTCTTGGAAAGTAATGGTGGATGCATTTGTTTATCTCGTGATTGAATTTCGATTTAGTTTTTTTTTGTAGTGATATAATATGTAGAGTTGCTCTAAGGAGGAAATACAGTGAAGGGGATGAGAAAGATGTTCTTGGAAAGTAATGGAGGAGGAGGAGAAGGGAGAGGGGGAGGGGGAGGAGGAGGAGGAGGAGGGGTTTTAGGAGCATGATTGGATTCTTGATGAGGGGGTTTTGTGAACTTTGTGAGGGGTTTTCTACAAATGAGGGGTTTTGTGAAATAAATCCCGCCACGCTGGATGCCATGTTGGCACCACGTGTAAAAATTAGCCGGAAAAATAGATCCGGCCAAACTTAAGGGGTATATGACTCCAGAGTTCACATAATATACCAATTTGTCAAAAGTAAAAAAAATTATACCATTTTGTCACCTTACAAAATATACCAATTTGGCCATTTTGCCTATATTCATCATACAAACATCAACTTTGACAGCCAACAGTGTATTGTAGTCAACAGAAAGTGAACAGTTGTGGACAGATTTTCCATTAAATTAGCTAAATGCAACTTACAACCGTGCATAACTCTTAAGACACAATTAACTTTGAAAAATTTTCTGCAAAACACCGTAAATGCTCTCTAATGACAAAAGATAGAGATAGGACATAACATGGATGCATATTACCACTGCAAGAACAATTATCATTGGTATACATCAAATTGCACTAAACCTAAATGTATAAAATACGAAATTGTTTAGTAATGGGCTAGAATTTTATAACATTATGTTCAAATGTATCATATTATCTGTAGAAGCAACCTGATTCTTACATCAAAATGTTGTGTACAATGATAAATGAGAGCAGCAGCTTCATGATTAATATGCAAACATAGGCAAAAAATACTGTATTGCCATTATGCAACGTACACAAAGACTGCAGTGATACCATCAGTATTTCCAGTAAAGCGTGAAAGTTTAATTGTCAAAAGAAAGACATAAATTTAATTGCTTTCACAGTCAATGTTTGCAAATTTGTTTCCTATTGGTAGTCTAATCTACATTCTTCCATGTTTACAGAATTCTTTTTATTTCTCTGTTAGTGTTTGTTCCCATAATGCAAAACATTGTCTCTTTAACACAATGTTCCTTATTATTGTTTCAGATACAGCAAGCAGACATAGTAAAAGAAACCAAACAATTTACATACAAAGATGGAAACCAGTATGTTTTCATGGATCTGGTATGCTTATTTGTTATCTCACCGGCCTTGCAGTTGATGATTTGAAAATTTGAAAGATATTATTGTGCTTATCTCATAAATAATGTCCTAGCAGTTTTCTTGATCTCCTGTTGTATTATATCAAATCGTGTTTATTACTCTGCTGGAAGTGAATCTTGTGATTGGAAAATCAAATTCCTATAAAATATTGCTGAATACTTCTCTTCCTTGTTTCGTCAAATTCCATATCCCATCATTTCTTTCCCCATCTCTTCCTATAAGTAGTTTGTCAAAATCCATGAATTGTTTGTTTTCACTTGTTGATTCCTTAATTACCTTCTGTGTACAATCTTTTCCAGGTTGCTTCTAGTTTAACAAAATCTTTGCACATGGGAAGCAAAGTTACAACAAATAGTAAACAGTAATAGAAGAATATGGAGTAAATTAAGATGAGAGATATCATGATAATCGAACTCTAAGGAGCTATTCCATTCATTTGTTTAGGAAGTTTATATTCAGTAGTAGGAAAGCTTCAAGATGAGCAATTGCTTGAGCTTCCTCATCATAAATTTTCTGACCTTGTTAAGCTACAAGAGAGAGGGTGTAAGATTCATAAGTTTCTTCAAGAGTCAAAATTTACATTTTTGTTGATTGTTTGAATGGAGATGTGGGTGATTTCAGATAACTCCAAACTCATCATTACACCCTAACTCTTATTTTCAATTTTACGAATAGTTTTAAATTCAATCTGTTATTAATGTGCTTTATATTTTGCAGTCAACTTATGAAGAATCTCGATTAAGTGATGCAGAAGTTGGCGACAAAAAGAAATGGCTAAAAGAGGGAATGGACTGTAATTTACTATTCTGGAATGGACGGGTAATTCCTTTATCCATATATGAATTCCAATCTATTAGTTTTTGTGGCATAATTTCTGAAATTACCATGAGTTTTGCAGGTTATCGACTTTGAGCTACCCATCACAGTTAAGCTGGCTGTAGTTCAAGTGGATCCTGGCTGGAAAGGCGACACTGCACAAGGTAACACCATTCGATTTTCAGATAACCTTCTGTTGGAATAGATGGTTATTTTATATTAATTATTATCATCATTTTAATTTTAGGGAAGCTTATAAGTTGTCTCATGACAGCAGGGCCTGTGATGAGCAGAACAGGGTCCAAGTTCTTTTTTCTTTGAATTAAAAAAGAGCAGCACAATTAGTTCATTGAATAACCTTTTTCTCCATCAACACAATAAACTCATCAAATTATTTTTATTCGTTTTGAGAAAAAAGTTATAATGTACATTTAGTCAACTACTTTTACATTTAATTAACTACTTTTAACCGCTGAATAAGGATTGAGATCTAGAGTTAATGAAGCATATCTCTAGGAAGGATTAGCTAATACTCTCTGTTCTGCTTGCTATATGCAAATTAGATATTCATACTTATCAAAAATTAAGATACAAAGAGCAATCCTGGATTTATCATAAATATGTTACGTTGCAGGAGGATCAAAACCAGCTACACTCGATACCGGTGCAGTTGTGAACGTACCTCTATTTGTGAACACAGGAGATGAGATAATGGTTGACACGAGAACCGGACAGTACATGAGCCGAGCATAGACATAAAAAGCTATAGCTTAAGCAAAAGCGCAGGAACTGGACAGTATATCAATCGAGTATTGATCTGCATCATTTTTGGTTTCTCGTCCCCCCTGAACAATTTCTTTGTCAATTTGATTGTATGTTAGTCATGTCATCTGAAGTCTTAGTTTAAAGAGGTCCACACAACTCCGTAGTTTGAAGGATGTGCGTATAGATTCAAGTGGTATGATATATGTTTACATCTTACAATTTTTTACTGCTGTTTCCTGTTCCGCGCGCACCTATGTTGCTGTAAAAGAGACATTAATCTTACAAAAGAAATCAAATTCCAATTTGACTGTTATATGTTGTTTTAAGCATATATGCAACTGTGAAGAGTAAGAATTTTGGCATTCTTAGTGACTGAACTCTTGAGTTTCCGAGAGTTTTGGTAACTGGCCTTCGGATTGCTTTCTCTAGTTCAGGCTTCAGTCAAAAGTGGACTCAAGTAATTCTGAAGTTAAATGTGAGTTTCTCGGTTAACTTTTTATTTACTTTTTGAATACGTAGTCTCCTATTATCCACCTTTAGCTGAGTTTATCATATTCAAGGCTTCGGGCTTTCAGCTCATGATCATCGATCTCCACAAAGTATATAGCCCCTGACCATATAAAAGCATGGGCATGCTTATTATTTTTTTAAATCAACACCATCATCAGCTTTAACTTTGTGTTGCGTGTTGACGCGAGGACCCAATGCCCATCCACTCCCAGAATCAATGTGCTCACCAAGCTCCCACGCGCGTGATGAAAGGTAAAGGGGATGCACATCATGTTGTCTCTTGATCAATTTCTTTCACACTAGGTGTGAATAATAACTAGACTCAGACCTCTATAAATCAAGATCATCAGTTTTTGACATTTACTTTTGTGAATAACGTTTTCACTAGCTTTGTGATAGCAGAATAATTGTGGGCATCTACTGTTCTATGCTTTACTTTAAGACTCTCGGGAGCCCAATGTGGGATGAGCATGTTAACTTTCACAAAGAAGGAAAATGCTAGAGGCACACCTCCAACCACACTCATCTCTCGTTACAGTGCACTGGGGCTCATATGAGAATTTTAAAAAAATTCCCATGTGGGCCCCAATGCACTGTAGCTAGAGAGGAGTGTGGTTGGGGATGTGGTTGGGGGTGTGACTGTAGCGCCACCCTATAAAGAAAGGAGGCAAAAGATTCCAAATTTCTACTTTGTCACCTCCTTCAATGAGCAAGAGCAGAGCACTGATACTACTTGCTTTTCAACGTACCAATAGTGCAGAATCTCTAAAAGCCAATCTCATCTCATTTTGAAAAAACCTGAAACAAATTGACGACGAAATTTCTGTCTGGCCTGCTAGAGATGGAGAAATTTCTGTTTTAATCCTTCGTTTAATGTCACCGCATGACCTTTTGGTCACTGCAATTGAAGCTTGAGAACTTGATGAGCTCTCTGAGTATTTGAGGATGGAGAAATACAATGATTTTAGGGTTCCGCAAGTGAATCAAGATAGCATCGAACACTTCAAATCAGAGAAAGATCACTTAAATCCCCTTCCCTCCAAAATCTCAAAAGCAATGATACACCTCAACATTTCATCCTGCTAACACTACTACTATAGCCTACCTTTCTTTCTTAACAACCAAATTGTATTTCATTCTACCTCCCATACAATCATACATCAAAACTTTCAAACAAAATTTGAAAACAACAAAGGAACAACAAACACATATCAGGTTGAACTCAGTTCGTCCTGATTAGGACATCTGATCATTTCCAGTATCTTGACAACCTCAGCCATCTCCAGCCGATTTGATGGCACCTGCGACGTGCATGACAACCCTAACTTCACCACCGGCACCACCTCCTCCACCGGAAACCTCCCCTTGAGCCTACCGTCGACGCAGTCCTGTGCTCTTCCTCCATCCACCAAACCCCTCACCACGTCACAAAGAACCGCCGCACCGTCTTCTTTATGCTCCACGGGCTCTCTTCCTGTGACTACCTCCAACAAGAGAACTCCAAATCCAAAAACATCACACTTGTCTGTTATTTTCACATTTCCGCAAGAAAACTCTGGTGCCATGTAACCCAATTCACTCTGAATCTTGTTGCTCAGAACGTATCGATCCAGCATTGGCAACAGACTCGCGAGCCCATAATCCGCGACCTTTGGCTCGCCAGAGCCATCGATTAGCACATTTTTCGGCTTCAGATTGTAGTGGATTATGTTATGACGGTGTAAATGGGCGAGGCCCTTTGCAGTGCCTAGGATTATGTCAAATCGCTCGTTCCAAGAGAGGGGCTCTGCATCTGAGTTCCCGTGGAGAGCTTTGTGCAAGCTCTCGCCAGAGATATAGTCATAGACGAGAAGCTGCAGCGATGGAGTCCAGTAATAGCCTAGGAACGGTACAAGGTTAGGGTGGTTCATTTTGCCTAGTTTCTTGATTTCTCTCTCGAACTCTTCTTGAGACTTCACTAGACTTGACACAACGAGCTTCTTGATGGCAACAGGGCGACCATCGGCGAGAAAGCACTTGTAGACCGTGCCAAAGCCTCCACGGCCGAGCTCGGCCTCCTTGTTGAGGATGGCATGAGCCCCAGCGGCGAAATTAATGATATCGCCAGAGAACATGACAAGTTTCCCAGAGTTAGCATCGGTATATGCTGGCGAGCCACTGTAATCGCTACCGGGGACAGCCAAGCCCTCAGCAGAGGGAGAACTAGAATTTGAGAGAGCCCGTCGGTTTAGTATAGTTATAGTGACGATGCCAAGGAGAATGACGGCAGCAGCGGCGATGGCGATGATCGAAGAGATGCTCAAAATGATTCTTTCGTGATGCAGGTTAGAGGAGGTGAGAGTGGGGTTACGGTCAGGGCTTGGGGAGGATGAGTTAGGGTTTAGGACGAGGGGTTTCGGGAGGACGCATGATCGGTTGGGAGCAGGCCCGCAGAGGTGGGGGTTGCCGGAGAGGGAGGAGGGGGGGATCGTGACGAAGAAGTTTCCGGAAGGGAC